AAACGAAATTAAATCAATCTACAATATTGATATTTTAGAATTAAGCGAACACGCGGAATTATTAATAGAATGGTTGAGCTGTGCGCACTCTCAGCTACGTCTTGTACAAAAAGGTTTATTGTTTTTGTCCGTGGCCGTCTGGATACCGGATTGTGAAAAAAAAAAAAAATAAATAAATAAATAAATAAATAAAATAGAGTCGCCTAATTTCGCTCCCAATAAACTACTTCGTCTTCGTGGCCAGACGAACGGTAAAGGTAAGCGGCCACCCTAGACTGCGGCGATATTGACATGTCCTAATGGAAGGGAAAAAATATTACGCACGCCAATCGACCCCATATCCCAATACGACATCCCTTCTTTCCAGACGGTCTCTACTGACGCAATCTTGATACGTCCCCCTCACCTCGCCCCTCCCCCATTGTTATTTACCCTCGGATATGTCTGCCCATAACGCTAGTATACCGTTTCTTATTTGCTTTTGTACCAACCGCATAACGGCTACGCGCACATATTTTATACGGGCATCTTCATTTTATTATTTATTAGATTAAGCCGAAAAATTCAAGCCATTGCTAAGTGGATTTTATTATTTCCTTCTTGCTTTATTAATGGTAATTATAGTTTTGTCGGTGACAAGCATATGCGTGCGCAAGGTTTGCGTGAATAAGTGCCCGATTGTCCGTGCGATACACGTATTTGAGGAACAATTTTTTTTTTAATAATTTACAAATCAGTGGTAAAACGAATGTTCCCACCGTTTATCGCAAATTATTGGCAATGATATTATAATGTTCAAGAGCGATAAAATTGATCGTTAATTATGAGGGATTAGCGCCTAGGCGAGAGTATTTCCGAGGGAAAGCCATTTCTTGAATGCGCGTGTGATGTAACGGAGTATTAAATAAGAGAAAAGGACAATATTTAAGCAAAAGATCGCGTCTAGTGTTATCGATGATAACGGTACCGAAGATAATAGATAGGCTTGAGACTCAAAAGTGGCCTAGACACATTGGTAGGGGTCGCCTTTGTAATGGAAATTCGCACTGAATATAAGCGTCGAGTAAGCGCAGTCGTTACACTTGCGAACAGCGTTAAACGTAATAATCTCCCTACTACTGCCTCCCTCTCCCCCTCCCTTGCCGCTCATACACTCGTATCTAACCGACTACAACCCCCGTGAGCGCATTGTTATAATGTAACATATAAGCGATGCGCAAATATTTTGCATATTTGTATCTCGTGTGATCCCGGAATGTAATGTCCTCGCGCTTATATTGCAACAGTGAGACGAGTGTCTTCGACTTGACCCCATTTTCGAGTCTCTCTCTCTCTCTCTCTCTCGACTTCTAGATATACTCCCTTCTTTTACGTCGTCCTTGCCGACGGGAGCATCACAAATGGACGAAGAGAGCCGCAAGAGCGAATAAAAATTAGTAAGACTTTTGTTATAATGAGGGCTATCTAAAAGTCAACCCTTAATGTTATATTACGTTCGAAGAAATTTTTTAACCAATATAAAATCATTGATAATGATAGTCGCTTCGATTTAATAAAAATAACGGTAATAGGTAATGAATAATACGACGTGATAAAAAATAAATGTCGACCAGTGATGATATAGTCATTGGGTATATGAAGGTGATGATTGATATATGAAGCTTTGATTAATTTTCTAAATACGCGCATTCAACGGCTTAATCATTGTTATTAGTTTTATGGTAGTGAAGTGCTTGAAAAAGAAATCCATACAAAAGCTACGTATATGATATATTTATTGTTTATCGTTCTCGATCATTGTTCTTGATTATTGTTATCTTCTTATAGGCATCAGTGTGTATAAATCTCAATAGCATAGATATCTGTTAATGTAATGTCACATAACTACAATTAATACAATGCACGCTAAATTATTCAAAAAAGAAAGAAAGAAAGAGAGAGATAGAGAGATAGAGAGAGAGAGAGATAGAGAGAGAGAGAGAGAGAGAGAGAGAGAGAGAGAGAGAGAGAAACTTAAACGGGTAAATTAAGAAACGACTACATTGTTTGCAATTATATAATAATATCAATGAACTTCTATACTAATAAAATGATACATTCTTGTTTATGTAATTTACAAGCCATATGGCTTTTATTAATATGCAGCTACACATTGCAATTTAATAAGTGTCTCAACATTTTTGTGCACTTGGTTTAATTACATGGGTGTTTTTGTTTTTTTTTTGTTGTTTTTTTTTCGTTTCGATAAATGGATACAAATTATACTTATAGCATATTGTGCAATACTTATCGTCCAATGACGAAAGTACAATCGTTCACATAAGATACTTCACATAGAAAACAAATTTACCGTGAACGTCACAATTTATTAATTACACAATCTCTTTGGGTTTTAATTAAATTAACTTGTATAAAAAGTTTAGTCCGGTACACATCTACCAGAAATCTAATTACATTCCGTTTGTTTTTTTGTTATTTGTTATTTGTTGTTGTTGTTGTTGTTGTTGTTGTTGTTGTTGTTGTTGTGGTTGTTTTTGTTTTTTTTTTAGGAACCTTCTCTGATCAAATGCTCGAAATTAGGATTTTTGAAAATTTAAAACTCCGAAATTGGAATTTAAAATCCGTATAAAATGAAACGCAGCGCCATTGTTGTAATTATCGGATTTTAAATTCGACCCTTTAAATTGCGTCGATTTTTTTCGATAGCAGGATTCGTTGAAAAACTTGACTATACATTTTTATAAATAATATGAGTATTCGAGCGTAGTTTTGTACTCTTAGGGTAACATTGCCCGAACGAAATATCATTTCTGTAACAACTGCATTCTAATATTGTACTATTGCAGTAGCCTTGCAGTTGGACATCCTGACTAACGCTCGATTTGTGCGTTACTATTTGAAAAAGGATGTAGTATTATGGCAAGTTAAACAGTTAGTAATAAAGGATTAAAAGAAAAATGTAATATCGTATGGATAATTAGGTAATTGCTTTGTTAAATTGTGCATTTATAAAGTATAAATAACTGTCTTAAATTACTTGACTTAAAGTTAAAAAGTTAAATATATATGTATATAATACAAAATCTGACGTAATGCCATAACTATTTTCTTAAGATATTTTTTAAACTAAATAAGCCATATTTATTTGTATATGAAATTTGCTCTAATTTGCTATACGAGAGATTCTAAATATCGGTATAAATATTTTTATAAGACTTTTTTTTTCATTTTATCATTCAACAGAGATAAAAGCTAGATTAGTTATTGGTTTATATAAGATATAATTTTATAAGTATTTGACGCAATCAGGGTGCCAACTACGAGAATCTCTTAAAAATTGACGAATTTTATTGGAAACTTTAGGCATTTACCCAATACAAGATTAAACGTTACTATAACATTGTTCTTAGGAAAATATTTCTATACGTTTGAAAAGCCATTAATTTTATTATTTACCTGCTGAAGTAAAGATTAAAATTATTATTCTGCTTTTTGGCGAAAAATAATATATTCCAAGCAAAACCACAAGACAAAGAAATAAAACTGATAAGACTTTCTTTTAAGTATACAATCGTCTCTGAATATTCGATTGAATCTAATATTGTGTAATTACAATGTATCGAATGGAAAATTTACAAGCAAATTAGCATTATGCTCACTCGAACAGATTTTTTTTCTGTTTTTTTTTTTTTTTTTTTTTTTTTTTTTTTACAACTTTAAACTACTTTAAACTACTTTTAACTATAACTTTACAACTTACATAACAAATACTCTTGTCTATTTAATTTTTTATTTAAGAAATTTGCAACAACAAAAATAAAAAAAAAAAACAGAAAAGAAAAATCAATAATACAAGTATAAAAAACAAGCTTGGAGAATTTATTGACGATAGACGTAATATAATAATTAGTGGACACCCTGGCATAAATGAAAAATACATTGACACAACACTAAATTAAAATATAAAATTGCTTATCGGTATTCTTTATACTAACAAATTATTATTAGTTCTTTGTGATATTATTTTCTTAACGCCATTATTTAACAAAAGAACATTATTAATCGATGCTTCATTTCTATTTAACATAAACAGATTCTATAGCTTTATAGAAATAATATTTCAATTATTAAATTGATTGGCATCTATTTTGATCTTTCACTTTTTGTTTTTCTTCCATAAAATAACACAATGTATTCGAGGCTTCCTTTAAATTAGCATCTTATTTAATTATTGTATTATCTAATACAAGGAAAACTCTAAAACTCAAAGTCATCAATGTCACTACGCACTAATTCGACTTACATTCTGTCAAAATCTATGCGAGCTAATTATCGACTCTGCACGCCTCTCGCATCACCATAGTACAAAGGAACTGTAATAATTTTGTTTGAAAAAATCTCAATTGAATTGGAACTGTTCAGTAGGTAGTTGCATAAACGTAAAAATGAGAACGATGCAATGAGTCGATGTTCGAGAAGGTAGTAATAATAATGTTGCCTTTGTGTAACAGAATTTATTGTCATTGCGTCTCTGTTTAAACATTGTAAAGAAACGCCATTAATCAAGTTGAAATTTCGACGCATTCGGACTAGAATTAAATAAAACGAGTGGCTATAAGGAAAGTGTCACGGTAGCAATTATCCACCTTACCGTTGTTTTTTAATTAATTAATCTTGGTCCGCGCGTTGACACAGAACAACATCATTTCTTTTAAACTTCTGAATCCTTAAACGCCCGAAGCTGTTTCTTAGCGAGGATTGAAAGTACAATATTTTCTCTAATTTGAATGATTCGATGAAAATTATTTGTTTACTTAATTTGTCCTTGTTTCGGCCAATCATCGGAAGCTCTCATTATGAAATGCCTTTGGATTCTTGTGATTTTTCTGTTTTTATGAATGTGATTGGATATTTTACTTTATTACTAATTAATTAAATAAATATATAGATACACTTATGCCTTATGCTTTATCCTTAACATAGTCAAAAATAACTATAAATGCTAGAGTACGTCAATCACCAATTTATATTATGTGAATGTAAGAAGTCGATGTTAATCGGTTAATTTTAAAGTCATATCGATGAAAATGTGTATTTCAATTAGTCGACAAAAGTGCAGTGTAGATGATTTAAAAATAATTATTGCTTTGGAACAAGAACTTCTAACGATACGATGAACTCTGCAAATGATATAAATAAAAAATCTTTTTCAATATTTCTGATGAAAAAAAAAATCGTACTTTCAAATTTCTCGCTGAAACTTGTACTAATTCATCGTACTTCTCATTCGCTTATTAAATATAAAATTTACTTTACGTTTTTTTTTATTGTACACTTGGACATTCATTTTAACGTGTAAAAAGATGGATAGAGAGATAGAGAGATAGATATATATATATATATGTATATATATATATAGAGGGAGAGAGAGAGAGAGAGAGAGAGAGTCGAATAAATTTGAATATTCTTGCGGTAAGAAAAACTTCATGAATGTGTACGTATTTAAAAAACAAAATTACCGATTATATATTAACGTAGAAAATGAATTACAAATGTCATAACGTTAAAGTGATGAATGCAATATCTAAAATACTATATCGCATAGAACTTTCTTTTCTGTTAGTTGCATCGTCTTCATAATTTACATACAGATGCAATTTAAAGACTTTTCAAACTTGCTTCTTTAAAAAGTCACTATTAAACAATCCATATTATTGAATAATTACACAACGATTAACGTAATTCTCATAGTTAATAGCTCAGTCTAAGCAACATTAATAACATTGTTGCATTCTACTTTTACTTTTGTACCGCTAATCAAAGAAAAGGATGCAACCAAGTATTACTTAAAATATTTATATACGTCATTATAATAAGATCTTTGCTCTGCGGTCACGATTTTCAATTTCATATTTCGTCAATCCATCGTAGCTTTCTAGCAGTCTCGATACTTTATCCAGATGCACCCGGGTCATCGTCTTTATTGTTCTGTTATCTCTATCGACGTAAAATAGAGTGCGATGCAAAAATTGATAATATGAAACGTAACGTTTCGCATTGAATATTCAATCCGATGATTACATGTAATCAGTAGTGTTGTCAAAACAAATACCCATATTAAGAAAATTTTGGCTCTTTTATTGGCATAAATTATCCGCAGCGCCCATTCGATTATTGAAATTTGAAATGCTGTCGATTGATGCTTATCGATTATTTAATAATATGTGAGAGACAAATAATGTCAATTGTTACTGCAACAGCATAAACGCATAGGTATTGTAAATAGCATATTTTAAAAAAGAAAACAAAAAAAAAAACGAACCAAAAACAAAACAAAACAAACAAACAATCATAATGTAATCGAAACTGTATAAATAAAAGCTACGACAAATTGTATTTTTATTCTTATAATTATTAGCGCTTATTCTATTAGAGCTCTGCAATAGTGATTGCACTTTGGAAAAAAGAGGATTCGTAAATATTCGAGATAAAAAATACCTACTGGTGTTTTTATGAATAAAATCAATAAATATGATATGTTCAAATTTTTTCAAAACCTCCCTTCTTCTAGCAAATCTAAATTTTACAAAATACTTTCAGCATCTTAGAATCATTAATATTTTCTCGTTACTGGAAGACAATTGCAAGAAATTGTAAAATGTACCAATTAATACTGTACAAAAATGTTCCGAGTCTACATACATAACATTTACAATATGTACGCCATAAATAAATATCTTGTAAAATTATGTCGACTATTTATTTCGTGTTTATAATCAACAACAATAGGTATTTTTTTTAACATAATTTGTCTCACACGCATGATTATTGCGTTTTTGACTTGTGCATTATATCTAAGTGGTAAGTGTTGTAGTAAGTTACCTAAGGCTGTCTTAAGTTTGCAATGTGTTTGTGATTTCTCGTTGCACTGTAGCTAAGTCTTGGATATATCCAGCTAATCGAGCATTCAACGTCTCTAAGTTTTGCTTCTGTACTTTATTTGTGCTCATTGAAATCTCTAATTGTTCTTGGACAACGTTTAACATTTCTCGCAGATCTGCATTCTCCTTCTGTATAGCCTGAAAATTTTAAAAGCCACTACATTTTCACCTTCCTTAAGCAAATTCTTCATAAGACAATACTTGTCAGTTAAATTTATACCGCATAATCTTTGTTCTTGGAAGCCATTGTAAGAGCCTTCACTTCCTCCGTCCTTGTTCTTAATTCCTCCGCTAAAGCTTCAACTTTTAACCTGAGAGCTTCGCTGTTACCTTCTGCGATCTTTCCAGCTTCTAAGTCGGCGTATTTAGCTTTTACCCTGGCATTTTCTTCTTTGTAAAGTTGAAGCTGTCTTTTCCATTCGTCGACATTAGCCGTGGACTCCTGAAGGGCACTTGTCAATCTAGTATTGTTTGTTTTAAGTGTTGCTAATTCAATCTGTAAAGAAAATACGATAAAGTGCAATTTTTGACAATTATGTAATTAAACTAGATAATATTAATTGCCGGAGGGCCATTCACACGCTATACTATATATCGGTATAATCCAAGTGGCTGATGCAAATCAACGAGTATTGTAACAATGCGTGGCTTAACCTTACGTACCTCCCACTTTTTGGCATTAGCTGAGCTCTGGGCAAGCGCTAATTTAAGCCTATCGTTTTCATATTTGAGTTGCATTTCTGCTGTTTGGCCACCGGTACCAGCGTTGGAGTTGAGCTGTTGCTGCATTTTTCCTTGATGCTGAGGACTATCGGTAGTACTTTGTTGAGAAATACTTTGGGATCTCGAGTGAACCGTGCTTTTGTAGTCATCCTCCTTTATTTGCATGCAGTAAGCCGGCAACGGGCTACCACTTACCGAGGAAATACTGTTTTGAGCGGAGATTATATTAGCGTTGGGAACTGGATTATTAGAAGTTGATATATTAGAGTTTATCATCGATGAGTTTGGAGGGTCGATGAGATCTTGCTCCGACGAAGGCATGCAAGATCGAGATGTGATTGGACTGACATTGGCACTTGTAGCGGGGGTAACTGAAGAACTATTTGACTGAATCTTGGCGCCAGCCAATTTAGTTGCCTCTTTAACTTCGTTAAATTTTTCGATAAACTGTTAAAAAGTATGATAATGTCAATTAATAACACGTTAATAAATTTGGAACTAATAAGAGCAATGTACTGTGTTTCTCGTGCATTATTTGATACGATATGGAAAGTATATTATTTAACTTTTCATAAATATTATGGGTTGAAATATTTTTTATAGAGCTCGGTTCCACGTATACATATATATATATATATATATATATATATATATATATATATATAATGTAAGTTCGTATTGAATTAACAAACCTTTCCTAATTCATTTTCCGACGAGAAGCCTAAGCCATAAACTGTATTGGCCCTGACATCCGACCATTGGCCAAACTTTTGCGATGTCTTCGTAAAGGTCATAAGAGGGGTAATTGTACTGTTTATGACAGCCTGTAATAATTGCATTTGTACTGATTAATAAAAAAAAAATCTTTGTTATCAATTACAAAGAAATTGATAGCAACAGTAATATTAGAATACACAAATTACCTTACTGCCTTCTACGGATATTATTCTGTAGAGATTACGCGTAGAATCATAAAAGAACGATACTGAAACTGCCGCTGTGGATGCAGACACCCATGATCGCTTAGTCTTTGGATCGATATGAAACACGTGTGCTTTGCACGTAAATATCGGCTGCTCCCTGTACAACAAAGATTAAGCATTGAAAACATGAAATGAAAAGGCAATAGCATCGATTGTTTGTAATTGAAAACGAATAACACCGGTTACCAAGCTATAAAACGTTATTACAACTCAAGCTGCAATCGCAAGCTGCGAATAAACATAATCAAACAGTCAGTCGATGTTCCAATAAATATAAAACAATGTAATTAAATCACAATTATTGAACGACCATACCCACAAAAGCATAAAACGAGCCACGGAACTGTAAATTCAATATAATAAATTTAATTAAGCAATTAAATTATAACGACGACATAAAATAATTTAGGCCCAATAAAGCTAAGACTATGCATCGATGCATCTAAATGGTAATGTCGAGCCCCAAAGATAATGGACTGATAATGAAGCAGATGAGAAGAAGGTCTTCTCGCTTTAATGCTGCTTCACCAAAAGAAATTATTATAGATTAATGATTACGATGTGAAATTGCATTGTATCCTTAATAGTCGACAAATTAATTGAACCGCCTTTGCCAAGTCGCAAACGAGCAGTAGCTCATCAATCGTCTTATTAGGCGAGATTTAAACAATTACCACTTCAAAGGACAACCTCCATAGGGAAAAAGAGGCTGGGAGCAAAGGTAGACGTGAATCGCGTACCTACCACTTTCCAAACCAACCCACAACAATCGTGCACCAAGTGCAATTAACGAGGAATTAAATATTGCAAGCGTAACTCACCCCATAGTAGTTTCCTTTCCGGATGTCATAAGAGCTGCCTTGGTGGTAAATCAATTAGAAATTCATAAAAACGTCAGCCGGAAGCCTTCCCCTTGGCTTTCGCTGGCTAGAACGAGTAGAACGTTGCACCGGAGGAGGGCAGTCGGCCTTGGTGTCAAGCCGGTGCCGAGGCAAATCGACGCTCCAGCGAGAATCGCCTTCGCGAAATTGGAAATTCTTTCCTCGCCTCCACGAATTAGTTATCCGCCGTCCACCAGTTGACAGCCGCCATTCGCCTAAATGGGATTGTGGTAGGGACGTTGCGTAGCACGAGTACGCACACAGTCGCGCTTAGGGCCGTATAAATGTAGAGACGTAGGGAACTTGGCTCCAAGCGTTTAACGCCGGCTCGCTCGACCCTTTTACTTCCTGACCCATCTGCCTGCAACGTATGGGATCCCGCACCCGCGATCTACCTACACTCGTTCGCCCTTGGCTACTTCCCTCGTAATCATCGCGCGTAATGAATGTCGATGATTATTAAGGACAAGCGATGCTTCTACAAATAAATCGTTGAGAGCGATTTAGCGAATTTTTAATCAAACAATGCCAGGCTATTTATATTGGGTGGGTCGTCTTACCATTCGAATGGCAAATAGAGAACAAGTAGATAGAAGTAGAAAATAGACAGATAGAGAGAGAGAGAGAGAGAGAAGAGAGAGAGAGAGAGAAGAGAGAGAGAGAGAGAAGAGAGAGAGAGAGAGAAGAGAGAGAGAGAGAGAAGAGAGAGAGAGAGAGAAGAGAGAGAGAGAGAGAAGAGAGAGAGAGAGAGAAGAGAGAGAGAGAGAGAAGAGAGAGAGAGAGAGAAGAGAGGTGCGCGCGATTGAATGTCGACGAGATTCGATTGGAGAAACGTGCGTGCTGTCGGGAGATTCTCGAATTCTTGATACGTCACTGCTCACCTCTCGGCTCTACGTGGATATAGCGCGGCTTTGGGCTTGGCCGGTCGGTTAGGGTGTGTGCGTGAGACGAGCTGAGAAATAGCGGCGCTATAGAGAAATAAAGTGCGCGCGTCCCTGATCGATTTTATGACAATTGTCGGATGCGAGAGGTCCAGGTAGCCGAGAGAGGCGCTGGTAATTCTCGGGATTCGCCGCGAAAGTCCAAAGTGTCGAGATGTTGGCGCGGTCGAGTGGCCTTGTCGCGTTTTCTCGTGCTTCGACGTCCCGTGCAAAGTCGTCATCACGCCCGATTATTCGTCTGACTTACGATATTTTTATAATGTCCCAATACTATTGATATTTACAATGAAAGGGTAGGGTGCGAGAGTGAAGGTGTGCCTACTCAAAAAGCAGAATTGCGTAAACATTTCAATTCAACAAATGGCATAATCGTTATTTATTTCATATTAATTTAATTTCTTATAAGATGACTACACGTAATGATATTGAAAAATAAAATTAACGATGCTATCTATAATTAACTCTTGATAACGGCTGTACTTCTGACGTTCAATCCCGCTTGAGAATGGGCTTGACGAGATATTGGTCAAAACCGATTTCCTTTGTTGTTATATAATCGGTTGGCTTGAAAATTGCCAATTGCAATGAGTATCGCAAGTAGCATGTTGTCGTTTAATACTTGGCTAGCTGTTTATCCGTCTCCTCGTCGGGTTGGTAATCCTTCTCGTGAGGGAAGATTGTCGGATGTTTGGGGTCGAACGCAAGATCTGGATGCATGTCTTTAAAATCTTCCATAGTCATGTCCCCGTACTTCATCATGTTTTCCAATGTTTTTATTTCATTTAAATTGTCTTCGATGCGCTTATTCGATTGGTCGATGAATTGTTTAATCAATGTATCCTGCATTGAAAAAAAGTGCCAGATGATGTATTATATTATTTTAAACCGAGCACTCGACATTGCATAAGATTGAATTTTAACGTAAGATTTTAATTATAAAACTCGGACAATGATGTTGGATAGAATTATTCAAACATTTAAAGTAATAATATGCTTTTATACGCCATGAGCGTTGTACTTTTGTTAGGGTGCGTCTTAAAAGGCACCCATGCACTTCTTTTGCAGGCTTTTTAAATGCTGTTTAAATTACCAAAATTAAACTTATAACCATAACTTCTGAAGCTTAAAACTTTTAAGCACTCGTCGTTTTTGCAATCTAGCATAAACTGAAATAACGGATAAGATAATTATTTTATAAAAATTGACAACAAAGTGAACTACTTTGCTCTGTACCAATTAAAAATTTGCTATATCTGCAAAGCGACGAGGGAACGCTGATTTTGACAGAAAAATGTGGTAATAAGTTGCGTTATTTCACATTTAAATGTTTACTCACTCGTTCATTTTAAATTCTTTTTTAAGCTTTATTAGAGCAATAGCCTTGTCTTAACAAACATTATTTATTAAGATATATAATAACACGAATCAAATTTGTATTACATTGTCTATTTGATTAATGAAACTAAATTTATTAGGTATGTTTGTAAAGTATAATAAAATTGCAGTACGCAATGTAAGTTAGCAATATAAATAGATACTTACAACTTTCTTTTCTTCTTCGACAATTTTAGAAGTATATTTGTCTTCTGGATAGGCAACTTTTAAGCTTTCATATTCTTTTTGGAATTTTTCAACAAGACCTGGAACGCTAATTTTTTTTTTATAAAGCTCCCAGTTGATCTTTGGCAGCTCTTCGGGGTAGTCTTCGAGACTATAAAAAATAATACACCACGATCGTGCCCATTATTATTCATTATCGAAACTCGTAAATACAAAAGAAGATAATCAATGCGGGTCGAAAATCGATCGATTAAAAGAAATTCAACAAATATAAATAAGATATCATTACGAGTGCTAACTCTTATAGGTTATATATATATATATATGTATATATATATATATATAAATGTGTATGTATACGTATATGCATATTACATAACATAAAAGTAACATAATAAATAGAATTGGCTCAGCGAACCTTCTGAAATATTTTTCCGATTTTGCTTTAAATAAAGAGAAGTTCATCTTTTCGTGTTCTGGAACGCGCTCGAGGAGGGCCGTCCAATTTATATTCTTAATTGCTTTACGACCGGCCATGATTCTTCTCCACTGGCGATACTGCGATCAAAAACTACACGAAAATGCGAATTAATAGTTAAGGATTTTACGGCCGATGATTGCGCATACAATCCACTTCGGTACACCGAACAGAATAGTCAAGTCGGTAATCACTGTCGCGAGTATCGCATTGTCGAGGGGTCACGGACTTTTCATTCTGCTTGAAATAAAACAGGCTGCCAAACAGGACGTGGTGACTTTTGTCAACAGTTTGGCCACAACTAGGCAGTGCCGGGTACTGCAATTAAATATGAAATGTTTAGAGCAAAGCTCGTTCTGACTGTACAAATTAAAAATAAAACGGAAATTCAAACGAAATAGAGAACTAAATCGGGAGCATCCTTATATTTAAATTACAATTATGTGGACTCTTATCAACTGCGTTCCCTTTGTTTTTTTTATAATAAATAGGCTTGTCATTTCGCTTATATTTAACGTCAATTGTTATCTTATGAGCAAATTTAGAGAACAACATTGACTCGTAGCTTTTACCTCGAGATGGCGCGCGGCCTACATTCGTCTATTTCAGTTTACGATTTACTATTTGTGTGTTGTTGATGATAGGCTCTGCTGAAGTAAAACAATATACAAAATACAAGGTAATTGCTAATCCTTACGACTTTGTTAAAATGTATAAATAAATTTTTCAAGCGTATAATAATTTTAGGAATTTTCTTAGAAAGATAATCGTATATCATCCTGTTGTCCATCGTGTTCGATTATGTGACATTATGTGATTATGTTTATAGCTCTCGTACGTCACTTGATGAACTGCCGTTTCTTAAAAGCATCGTAGGTCTCTTTCTAGGCGTGCGATACTCCATGTTAAATAAATTATCGATACGCATATTAGGAAAGAAGGATTTGCAAGCACGTCCCTGCCAACTGTGTAAAACATAAATTCAAATAAAAACAAAAAAAATAGTATAATAAATTATGCTCCATTAAAGAGTGAAATGCATAGTGTTACCACCATGTACCCTATGTACAAAGTAAACAAGGCTCTCGTAAAGAGGAGCACAAGCCATTCGCATACCAACAATTTAACCTTTATCTTCCTTTCTTTAGCGCGTGCGGTGCACAACCATATTCGATGCGCTAAAACTTCCCAATCGTTGTAATGCAGCTTTCACCTATTCTTTCGACTCGTTTTACAATTGCAGTGCGTTAACAAAAAAAAAAACAAAAAAAAAAAAAAAAAAAAAAAAAAAGAAAAAAAAAAAAAAAAGGGGAAAAAAAAAGTGTGTTTTATGGGAGAGGAGCGAGCAACCGGTGTTGGTGCGCGCTGTCAGCGATATAAATTCACGTCGAGTCTAAAAATATTGACGTAATTCAATTATCGCGGTGGGTACCGAAGGGGCACGAGAATTGGGTTCATAAAGCTCGCGTCATTGTCCAAGGCCGGTGATGATGGCTATGGGCCTTGGACCCTTGGATCCGCTGGGAAGATCCAGAGCCGTTTCGGCATCCGTACGAATAGATGTATTGGTATTGACATTTGTCCTGCGCAGTGGAAATCTACCCCCGCATGCGGGGTCCCTCTTGTAAGCGGAAGGACTCGGAATGAGTACGAGAAGGGGGAAGCCTGTGGGAGGGGAGGTCGGTGGAGAAATTTGAGAAAACGAGGAGGAGACGGAGACGGGACTTCTACGAATGTATAGAGGAAATGTATCTCTGGCATGCTCGCGCACGGACAATTCTGTGTCAAGACTTGCGATGTAGGGGCACGCTGGTAAAAAGAAGAGATATTGATCAAGTTTTTGGTCTCAGGTTCGTTAAGGACGACGATGTTTAACACTTGTTATGAGCCAGTGGGTGCAACGATTGCGACAGCGTTTACAAGAACTTTTCCGCTCTCCTGTATTGCTCATACACAATTCCAACGTTCAAACGAATTTATTCCAATCTTATAATTTGCCAGTTCATTATGAATTCGATAGTCCACAATAAGTGAAGTTAAAACAAATTTATTAAGCATTGCATTTCAATGGCTGTTTGTTCGCGCGTATTTATCCATCCCCTTTAAATTCTATTGTATCATTAATGGTGTATCTTTTTATTTAAGATTTTCCAACTGATTATGATCATGTTAATCCATCTGCGTAGTAAATAGAATTCGAGTTTAAAAATTAATCGCGTGTAAAGAAAATATTTAGCGAATCGACGTACTTGATATCAGCGATGAAAGTTATTTGAATTTAACGAAAGGCAAATTCAGACACTTCCATGCGTACGTAACTCGATGATTGGATGATAGTCGGCGTGTCTAGAAAGACATGCTTTAGAATCATTGGGGGCGCATGAAAATGGCAATCGTTTACTTCTATCGAATAACCCAATAACCATAATAGCCATAATAGTGCCATTGGCATATCATAAGTGTTTACGCAAGATTTAAGCATCGATAGCTTGCAATCGGTGGACAAATTTATCTTTATAATGTATTGACGGAGGATAAAAGGCCAAGAGTACAGGAAGTGGACGCGGCGCGTGAGTTATGTCGCCAATAAATAACTTTAACCACATTGCATTGCTATTTGAAATTGAACGTTGAGTATGTTTATATACACGAGCACGATTAAGTGTCAAAAACGAAAAATTCCATAGTGAGAAGAGTGTGAAGAGTCGGTAGCATTTAAAAGATATCCGTACTCCAGTTTAAGTCGCGAGATAGCGCGATTGAGCGATAGAGTGAAATGACACGAGCTAAGAGTTATCTGCCATTGGTTCGATGGAATTGATCGGCCGGCAATCGAAGTCAAGGGTGAAATTCTCGTTGAACGAAGGATCTAGACGGGGGAGTTTATTTTAAAAAAAAATGGCCGAGAGGACGTAAGCTAGGGGGCGCAAATAAGACGCGCGAGTCTAACGAAGGGAGGGCGCGTCTCCATCGAGGCGCAAAATTCCGTGAAGAAGGTGAGAGAATGCGGAATGGTAGAGAAGAAGCGGGTCGGCGGATAAATGCGGGGGTCCGCTGTATAGGCTCGTAAATCAGGCTTTGCCCACGATGGTAAGGCGCGAAGAAGTGACCATTTGACGGGGCGGTTCGTCCGGAGCACCGCACGAGCTTACGACCTCGGACCTTCCCGGCTTTAAGTGCGGTTGTCCGGGTTTTTCGCGAGCCCGGGCGGTGAAAGTCCTCGACCACTGCCCCACTCGTTTGACTCTCCTCTTCTTCTTTTTTTTTCTCCTCTCATTTTCCTAGCTTTTTCCTTCTTATTGTGTCCTTTTTTTCCTTTTTCTTTCTTTCATTCTTTTCTCTTGTTATTATTATTATTCTACTACTTCTTCTTCTTCTTCTTCTTCTTCTTCTTCCTCTTCTTTTCTTTTCTTTTTTTTTTTACTTTTTTCTTTTTTTTTTCTTTTTTTTTTCTTTTTTCTTTTTTTTTTCATAAATTTCAACCCGCGACCTTGGAAGTACTACAAAAATTTATGACGCCGATGCGCTTGGGCTTTACGAGCACGGAAACGTCGAGCCCTCCGCCGTCACACGGCTCGAGATTTCGATCTTGATTTTACGAGTCTATTGGGTAACAACTGTTTGGCAGTTTCACTCGTGAAAACTGCGTAATGTCTCGAAGGTTGTACAAATTGTATTCGGAAAGGAATTTCCGAGATTAGTGCTCATTGGGAACATTCATCTTCCACGAATGTGGAGCCAAACTGCCATGATAATTGCAGGTTATTTCAATTTTCCATTTCATTTTCAACCCCTTTAATGTGAAATCTCGCGTCACGAAAATGGACAATAACCCTACTAATCCAATGTCGATTTTACTTTACCATAAAACTGACGTCTGGAACTTTTAATTTATATGTAAGGTCTCCGTGTGTAAGGGCAAATAGTTGAAATGTAGACAATTTATCTTTAAGAGGTAAATGTATCTTTACATTCGGAGTTGATAAGATATGTAAAGCATGAATTAATAACTGCTATCGAAAATTTTTAACTAAACTTGTATATTGTCAATTGCACGTGATGAAAGAGAGAATATCGTCGTGAATGAGATGGTAATGATAATAATTAAGTGACAAAATAACGATTAGAACTCTTTGAAAATTTAAATGTAAATTTAAAATTTGAAAAAGCCGTCGCATCGCATGTTAGAAACAGACGAAAATTTCAATCTCAAATCATTTTCCCATATCAGAATCATATAATTCTTTACATAGTATTTGAGAAGAAAAAAGATTATAATTATCAAATATACTTGTGGCTGGTTTTATCAAATTTTCCATATAACCTCGAGGTTTTTTTTTTTTTTTTTGTAATGTCAAGCACAATCTTTCAAATGACTTTTATGGTCTTTGTTTTACTTTTTGACATATTAATTTCATAATACTTTCCAAGCGTATATATAAAATTTTCTCCAAAATTTCAAAAGAAATATTAAAAAACCTGTCGTTAAATATGGTGAACATTCGACGGAAGGCACGAAGCATTCATGCCACACATGTTTACATGCATATACATCTCCGGCATCTATGCCAGATTGTCAACGCAAAATGTTCAAGGGACGCTTGAAATTTCTACCGCACTTTTGAGGATCAGATATTTTCAACTGTAGTTATAAAGCTGTAATAGAAAGATAACAACTGCAACGAGCTGTTAAAAATTAATTATATTTTCGTAAAAATTCTTATAAGAAAAAACGCAGATCATCTTTTCGATTGATAATTTTATCTATCTATTGGTTTTCACTGCCCTCCAAGTAGATTAATAATCGAATAATCTATTAAAAATCTATTGCACGGACATGTAATGATTCAACTCCAACTGTAAATATATTTTACAGTTAAGTAAGTAATAACGTTAAGATAATTTTTGTATTATCATTCGTATATGAGTTTTACTTTGAGAATTAAACGTAATTTACTTCTTAATGTTACAATATGCTGAGTTTATTGTAATCTTATATTGAATCATTACAATTTTATGTAATTGAACATGATGCGAGGAATTTAACGAAATTCTTCTATATTTATAATTTGAATATAAAAAGTAATTACAAGCTTCCATAAACCTATAAAAATCATTTCTTAGGTTTCTAGATAAATCCCATTAATGAAGCTCTTATATTTCTTAAAAATAAATGTACGATCTAAGAGGCATATCTATAGGCTTCCAATTAATATTAATAATTAATATATAATAAATAATAA